TGGTTTCTGACCTCTGGATCTTCAGGGTCAGATGGTGTCCCTCCCAGGTGCACAGTCACCAGGAGTCAGTGGGGTCTGCTGACCTGGATTTAAAAAACATTTTTAGTTGGGCTAGGGGTGGAGCTTAGCGGTAGTGTCTTGCCTCTTGTTGGGAAACAACAAGAGGGTGGTTATCAACCCCAGCGCTGCAGGGGGACCGACAAAAAGCACATTAAAATATTTTTTATTAATCATTTCTCATTCAAAATGCACAACTTGATGTTTGGACGTACATATAGGTCCATGGAGTTGTCACCGCACTCAACCTAACGAGCGTCTCCATCACCCCAAAGGTTCCCTCGTTTCCTAACTCTGCAGATCAGTTTACATTTTTTTTTKGAATTTCATATAATTGGAATAATACGATATGCAGGTTTTTAATTTTTTTTGGTCTGACTCCTTGCACTCCACATGATCACTATGAGGTTCGCCCACACCGTAGCGTGAGCCAGTGGTCCACGCCCGGTTAGGGCTGAGTGCAGTTCTGTGGTACATTTGTTGACCTTGGTGTGTTTTGCATTGAGTCCAGTGTTTTGGCTCTGACAGACGAGGCTGCCGGGGACACTCGTACAAGTCTCTGCATAGACATTATTTTGTAYCCATGCTCACGAGGGTCGCGGATCTGTAGTTTTCTTACAACGTCTGTAGTCTGGTTTTGGTGTTGAGTAATACTGGCTTCACGGAGTGATTGGGAAGTACTCCTTCCTCTGCAATTTTCTGGGGAAATTTGCATCCCATTTGTATCATTTTTTTTTTTCCCTGAAAGTTTTGGTAGCATTCACCAGTGACATCATTTGGKCCTGTGTTTTCTTTCACCTCATGGGAAGCTTATGTATAGAAAATTCAATTTCTTTCATTGATTCAGGACTAGCCATTTTATCTACTTTTTATTGAGTGGACTCTGTCACCTTTTGCTTTTCAAAAAGGTTGTTTGTTTCATTTCATTTGTCAGATTTATTGGCATAAAATTGCTCCCAGTGGGGCCGGGGGCGTGGCTCAGTGGGAGAGCACTTGCCTGTGCTGCCCCAGGCCCTGGGTTCCAGTCCCAGAACCACACACAGTTGTCCATCACACCCCCTGGTTATCCTGCCAAGGTACTGATTCTACTTTGTACTGGATTCTCCTCCATCACATCCACCAGAGGCCGACAGATGTCTTCTGTATTTCTCCAGGGAGTGGCGAATTTATTTGGATGACCCTGGGCTCACTCAGCCATTAGTGGTGTGTGGTTGTTTTGCTTCTGAACCATCCACAGSATCCAGTCCTACGAGACTGGATTTCCCCTCTAGGGGAGGCCCATCTACAGACCGGGGAGAGGCTGGTGGAGAAGACCTTGAGTGGGGCAGAGGATTTAGGAGGAGTCCTCCTGGGGAAGAGCCACGTGTGCTCCTGGGATCCCCGAATGAGATACTGGGGTGTGGCTGAATCTGAGATTTCCCCACTGCTCATTAGTAAAAGGCTTGGTCCCCGGCCGGACGCTGCCGGGAAGTGGAGGAGCCTTTAAGAGGCGGGGCCTACTTGGAGGGAATTAGGTCATTTGGGGTGTGCCCTTGAAGGACTTATGGAGACCCTGACCCTCCAGTCTCTCTCTTTGATTTCTGGCCCCCGGGATGGCCCCCATGTGCTCCCCGTCACAATCTGCTGCCTCCCACAGCCCCAAAGCAGCGAGCCAACTGACCACGGMCTGAAACCTTTGAAACCATGAGCCAGAACAAACCTTCCCTTCTCACAAGTTGTCTACCTCAGGCATTTTGTCACAGCAGCGGGGGCAAGCTGGTGGACACACCAGAGCTACTTGGACCTTCTGAAGACTCAGTCCTGGGCCCCGCTGTGCGGATCCACAGGAGGAGAGGACCCCCGAGGGCTCTGGGAGGGGTATGCCTGGTAACAGAAATCCTGGAACCTCCCCCGACGCTGGCAGGAGCATTGGCACCTGGTATAGAGGACGCAAGCTCCAGTTAGAGGCGTGGAAAACGGAGGTRAGAGAGGAGAGTGACTTACTGGCCACAGACTATGTGACAGTTTGAACCTTAAACACCCAGAGGCTCACTGTGAAGGCTTCGTCCCCGCCCAGGGTTCTCCTGGGAGATGGTGGGCCTCGAGGAAAGAAGGTCATTGGGATGTGTCCTTGAAGGGGACATTGGGACCCTGGTCTCTTCTTTCTCTCCCTGCTTCCTGGTCACTAGGAGGTGAGCACATGTACCCTACAACGCTCCCCACAATGAGGGGCTGCCTTGCCACAGTCCCCAAAGCCCTGGAGCCAACACACTGTGGACAGAAGCTTCTGAAACCATGAGCCCAATAAACCTTTCTGATTTTTAAGTTGTTTGTCTTGGGTATTGAGTCACAGGGACAGAAAGCTGACTAACGCAGACTAGAATAGGTGAAAAAGTTGGGATCGAAAGAAAGATCTTGTGGCGGTTTTAAACTGTCAGGCGAATTCTTTGACACTCCTGTGTTCAAAGATGCAGGCTAATTCTCCCCCGTGCCAACCTGGGTGGGAGCTGGTGACGAGCTAGCTGGTGGAAATGATGCTATGTGGCTTTCAAAAACTGGGGTGTGGGCCTGGGGTGAGGGAGGTCTTTAGGTTACTGGGGGGTCTGGAAGGAGACTGTGGGACCCCAGACTCAGCCTTGTTCAGTCTCCTGGATCCTGTTGCTCTATCGCATGCTCCCACGGTGACGTGCCATGTCACCCAAGTCAGAGGCCCAAAGACACGGGAATRTTTCTTGGACTGGAACCTCCAGAGCTGTATGCCAAAATAAAGCTCCTCCCTCTCTTTTTGCAGGACTAGCAATTGAACCCAGGGTCTCCTGCATGCTCCGAAATGGCTCCACCAGGGAGCTATACTCCAGCCCCAAMCTATTCTCTTTACAAGCTAATGGCCTTGGGCATTCTGTTACAGTAGTATGAAGCTGACTACTACATTGAACTTGCAAAGCTTTACTTAAAAAAATCCATTCATATATCATTTACGTTTGCGCACCAATGTAGACCCAGAGAATTGAATCTTACCAATCAATCTTCACATTCCTGCCCATTGCCGTACGTCATTGCTCCCAGCATTAGCTTTGGAAGCTGACCACTTCTTAACTAAACGAGGACCGTGCTTTCCAAAGCCATCCAGTTGCACTGGGAGCCAAAGAGGCACTCAGCCTCTCCAGGGGCCTGAGGCAGAGAGGGAAGCCTAGAATATGGGCACATGGGTGACATGCAGAGCCACTAAAGGGCGGTCTCCTTGGCAGGCACAGAGGGTATGTGAGGGCCAACCCCAGGTACTTCTTCTTTGATCTCTGGAATCTCCACTCCATTCCTCTTGGCAAAGATATGGTTTATCTCCACAAACGTTCTCCCCTTGGTCTCAGGAATAACCACATAGGTGTAAACCGCAGTGAGGACGCAGAGGCCAGCAAAGACCAGGAAGCTGTAGGCACCGATGGCCTCCTGGACCAAGAGACCAAGAAGACGGAGGGGGTGGAGCGGGAGGGGGGCAGGCCTGCTCAGGCCCTCTGAGTAAAAAGGCAGTTTCCTCGGGGCCATTTTGTTTGCTCTTAGAGGAGTGAAAGAGCTAGAAAACAGGGTCCCTCCCCACATTGGAGAGGAGCCCTTAGCCTGTGGACAACAGTGACCTCATGGTCTCTGGGCCCCTCCTGTGCTGGGCTGCAGAGCTGGTGCACATCTTGGAAGCAGAGGAAGGAGCCCGCTGTTCACTGCCTCTGGACTTCACCCACCAGGGACCCTAAGCAATGGACCCTTCCCAAGCTGTGTATGGGTGTCCCCTCTGAAATCCTGGCTTGGGGACACGGGCATGTTTAGAGCCTGGCCACATGGGTGTCTCYCGTGAGGCTCTGAGAGCTGCCTCCGCCTTGTGGAAGGGGCAGGTGTTCTTGGTGGAAGAGGAGACTCTGCCTACTCACTGGTGCCCCTGCTGACCCCTGGGGGGGGGACAGGGTGGCTTGGACATGGGCAGGAGGGGCCGCTCACCTGGACCGACGGGAATACCAAGCCCACGATGAAGTTGGTGAGCCAGTGCACAGCCCCGTCCACCGTGAGCGCAGCCGGCCGGGAGGACTGCAGGAAGATCTCCATCCTCACCACCGAGGGGACGGGGCCTGGAGGGGCGGGTGGGCGCAGGGGAGAAGGGTCAGAGGGCCCGAGGGCCTGCGGGACACAGCCTGGCCTGGYCTCACCCTCAGGCCCCTGTGTGGGCAGCCCCTGCTGGGTTGGGGAGCAGAAAGGACCCCTCCTTTGCCCAAAGACGAGAACACAGCAGCCCACGGTGCCCAGCCAAGGCTGGCAACAGTGCAGTGGACAGAAGGCTTCTTGGGAGCAGAGACTCGTGAGTCCGTGCCTTCCCCTCCCAGGAGCCCCATTCTCTCAAACCCTTGCTCTGCGTSAGGCTCCTCTGGACGTCCCTGGCCGGAGGAGGAGCAGGTGCGCTCTGGAGCGCCTGGGCTCCCTAGTGCTGCCCCCCTGTGGCGCGTATGGGAATGGCCGCGCCTGCTGGCCACCCTTTTCCTTGTCCAAGTCTTTTTCTCAGTCCTGTTCATCGTTACCCCCTTGCGGAGCTTTGTCCCATATTTTCTCCTAATCGCCACCTGCRGCTCTGCACACACAAGGCGTAGGACTCTGTCCTCTTCCAACTAGTGTCCCATTGGGGGAGCAGGGAGAAGGAATGGTCCCGCTGAAGATGCAGTCTCAGGGGACAGACCAGGAGAGAATTCAAAGCCCCAGAACAAAGCTGCTCTTGGGACTTAGGTACAGAACTCCTGCCAGGGGGCCCTTCCTTGGGGATCTGCTGCCCACCGTGGGTGCAGGTGAGGGTGTTATCCGTCAGGACCCTGCTCAAATGTCCAGTCAGCCCTCAAGCTGGTCTCCTATGGCTGGCATCTATGGCTACCTGGGGGGACCACATCAGGCAGGGAGGGACAGAAGGACCTGGAGCCAAGGTGGGCTACACACACCAGCACCTCCCCCACTAGGCGCCGTCTCTACCTTTGAGGTGCACAGGGGTGGGGTGGGGGGACTTCCTGCCAAACAGCTCACTGACACACCCCTGTGTGCCCCGCTGCTGTCTGCATCTCCAGGGCTCGGGCAGCCTAGGTGGGGCCTCCCTGGATGTGTGTGTCCAGGTGATCCCTGGACACACAGYGCCTGCATTTTGGTTTATGGATGGTGCTTCCCAAATGAAGACCCCGTGAGGCACGTCACTAGGGTCTTAGGAGGCAAATTTCCTCAGGCTCGATTCTCAGGAGGACACACAGGAACGGAGCTTGGAGGCTCCATGGCTGCCCATGTGGGGGCCTGAAGCTCTTGTCCCGCAGATGTGGGGTTGCAGCAGCTCAGGATGCAGCTGGAGGTCAGCAGGGAGCAAAGAGAGGTGACTGTGGGTGGGCTCGGAGGCCAATGGCATATGGAGGGCTTGGACAAGTCAGGGTGCCCTGRGATCTGGCTGGTATGAGTCCCCTCTGCACGGGCTCCTCTCCTTGTTGGGTCTGGACCTGGGTCTGGGTACCTCTGGGAGCCGCACACTAGTGAGGCACTGGTCTGAGTGTGATACTGGTTGGCACTGGAAAATGTTTGCTGAATGAATAAACGGGAACTGGATTGGGGGCCTTTTAGAATGGGTGGACTGGACAGGAACGGAGGGGCGTGGTGGAGGGAACAGCACAAACACTGTGAACCGAGGACGCTCTTCATTCAGCAAGTAATTAGTGAGCACCGGCTCCACAGCCCGGCCGAGRGGGGGGGGCGGAGGAGCTGCAGGTACTCACTGGGCCCGATGGAATGTCCCGCGATGTAGGCGAAGATGCAGATGACACTCAGGTAGGACAGCTCAGGGACTGTGCTCTGTGGGGAAAGGCGGGCCGTCTGGGCCTCAGGCCAAGAACCCTTGCTGCAAATGGGCACCCACGTTCCCACCCTCCTGCCACAGGGAGGCCTCACGCTGGAACCCTGGCCCCACAGAGCCCTCAAGGGTTCTCGGGCAAGCACGAGGACAGGTGTGGGACATTCTGGCTCCAGAAGCTGCCCAAATCTCTCCTCAGGGATGGCACCGGAGGCACAACCTGCCCTTGATGAACTTTCGTGCAGAGCACCACTCTTGGCACTTTACAAATAAAACCCTAGAAGGAGGGCTGGGGAGGGGCTCAGTGGCAGGGGCTTGCCTGGCGTGTGTGAGGCCCTGGGTTCGAGTCTCAGCACCACATATAAATAAATAAAATGAAGGTCCATTGACAACTAGAAAATGTTTAAAAATAGATGGACATAATAACTTTATTTGTTTATTTTTTACGTGGTGCTGAGGATCCAACCCAGAGCCTCCCACTGCACCATGAGCCCCTCCCCAGCCCACGTCACAAACATTAACACTCCTCTGAGTGAGGAAATTATTACAGAGAGGATGATGTGGAAAAGGAGGAAAAGAACAAAAACTTTGCCTCTGAATTAGGGAATAATCTCCTTACTCCACACCTTCTCCTGGTCATGGAGGAGAACAGTTCCAACTCTGTATTTTTCATTTGAAAAGGGTTAGTGCAGTGGCAAGGTTACTGCAGAAACAACAGTGGCCAAGAGGCCAGTGAGAGTGACCATCTGATGGTTTTTAAATCATTTTATATTGTGGTCATGCTTTTTTTTTTTTTTTTTTTTTTTTTTTTTGGTACTGTGAATTGAACCCAGGGGTGCTTAACCATGGAGTTATATCCCCAGCCCTTTTTATTTTTTATGTTGAGACAGGATCTTGCTAAGTTGCTTAGGGCCTCACTGAGGCTAACCTCCCATTGCAATCCTCCTGCCTCAGCCTCCTAAATTGCTGGCATTGCAGCGTGAGCCATCATACCAGCTATAACTGTTTTCTATAACTTCTATAGAAAACAGATAAAAAATGTATTCTGAGAGAATCACAAACTGAAGGATGTGTTCCCGAAACAGGGCTGTGTTTTACTCTTGCTGTGGCGTCATCCCGGAGTACTTTAGAGCCCTCCCTGTGACTGTGTCCTCTCAAGGTTCAGCGAATCTGGTCCCCAGGCTACTCTGAGCTCCAGAGAGGACACAGCTCCTCGTGCTGGCAGGACTCCGGGACGTGCGCTCTGCCCTGGGTGCCCCGGGACAGCCTTCAGCGCAGTGAGCCTGGGACTGGTCCTACTGCGCGTTCCCTCCCGCTGGGCCTCTGGTTTGTCCTGGGTGCTGTCCCTGCTCTGGTGGGGGTTCTTYTCTCTCCTGCCCGGTGTCCACGTGGAGCCCAGCGGGCTCATCCCGCCCCCGCGCTGCCCGTGGACTGGATGGCTTCCTGGATTGCGTCCTGGTTGGCGGGTGTTTCCCCGCGCCCTGCGCTGGCCCTTACATACAGAAACACACGCTGGACAGTAATTGTCCTCCTGAGCGAGGACACCTGTGGAGTTGCTCTTTTGGGGTCGGATGCGGGGAGCGATCATCCTGAACTTCATCTCAGGAGGGGGCTGTACACAGTCCTTGTCCCTGAGCGCGCCGAGCGGTGGGAGGGGCCGAGCTGCCCGACCTCCCTCCCGCGCCCTGGTCCCCCACCCGCCCGACACGCAAGGGGCCAGACCTGGAAGAGGAGCGCCAGGGTCAGCACCAGGCAGGCGGAGCCGCAGATGCCGAAGCCGGCCAGCAGGAGGAGCCGCCTCCCCAGCCGCTCCACGGTGACCGCCTGCAGGGGAAGCGGCAGTGAGGGACGCCCACAGTCCCTGCGAGCTGACCCCAGCCCCCACAGTGCAGCCCTCCTCTCCACCCCGCCGCTTGCGGCCGGAATGCTGGCTGACCCCTGTGCGTTCCTCTCCCGCCCTGGRCCCCTCTGCAGCCCCCCACCCCCCGGGGATCTCGTAGATCTCGGCTCCCTGCTCTCCTTCTCCTAAGGCGCCAGCACGTTTCCTAATTTCTGGATTTGATGCCTTGACCCCTGGGCCCTTGCTGCTCTGGAGGCGCTGCCCCTCCCACTTGGTTCCTGGAGGATGCGCCCCTCTCCTCTCCACMGAGAATTACAGGGGCAGGGGGAGGTGTGCGCAAGGAAGCCCTTCCCTGTTCCTTCCCTTTTCCCTCTGGGGCAAGCTCTATCCTGCATCCTCAAGATAAAGAGCCCTAACTAGGACCTTCTCCCCATCACCCTGCTGGAGAAACCCCAGCCAGAGAGCTCTGCGTGCCCTGGAGGGCAGTGTTTGGGAACTAGGCACAGAATCTGAAGCTGACCTTTCTAACTTCTTCCGTAGGCGATTAGGACYGCCACTGTGCTCCTGTCTGGCCTCCCTGACTGGCAGTGGTGGCCCCTCTGCTGACCATGCAGGGCCTGGAGCTGAACCAGGGCAGGGGGTTCGGGCACTCTTCCTCCTGCCAGCCTCTCTTCCTGTGCTCCTGAACTTCTCCCTCCTGCCAATCCATATCCCCCGAGATTGACTGGGACTTAAACTACCTGAGCGGAAATACAGCTACGTAATAAATAACTTTCTAAAAACAACTGAAGAAACAGGAGTAAGCCCATCAGGGACTGGTCTAGGTTAAGGACCGACACCATCCTCTATTTGAGTGAGGGCACTTTGGTCCTTTCCCTTTTTGTTGTTTGTTTTGGGGCTGGAGATCCAACCTAGATCCTGTGTCTGTAGGCAAGCTCTCGCTACCAAAGAGCACTTTTGTAAAGGCAGCTGATCAGGCAGGAGGGATTCCAGTTTTCAATTACTCTCTGAAATGACAATATTGCCAACAAACACCACAGGAGAATAGCAGGTTTGGCAATATTACAAAGAAGGACACCTGGGTTGCCTGGTCAAGGTCACACAGGTAGTTAATATGTGACTCAGGCCACCAGAACTTTTCTGGCCCTGGTGGGGTGCCTGTCTGCTGGGGGGCACTGCTTGGACACGCTGCAGTGGGGAGGTCACTCCCCGTCACTCACCGAGACGATGGTCATCACTATATTGACAAGGCCGGCGCCCACGGTTATGTACTGGGAGTGAGCAGGCTCCACGCCAGCAGATACATAGATGGTGTCTGCATAGTAGTTGATCTAAAACACAAACTTGGGGTTGAGAGGAGAGGCCTGGGACCCAGGCCCCRGGCTTCACCTTCTGGCCTCAAGCAACAAACAGTCCTAAAAGCCTGGGTTGGGTCAGAAGGAGACAGCTGGTGGGGGTGAAGTTAGGACTCCTGGGATGGAGGCTGGCCGAATCCTTCTCTGAGCCCAGGTTCTGCAACTATAAAATGCGAGTGGACCACCAGGACCTCTAAGCACTCCTCCCCACGTTCCTTTGCTATTCTATAAGCTCAGACCACATACAGTGACTTATCTCTTATTTGGGGCCAAGCCAACTGTAAGTTCAGCTTGTCTGTGGCTGAGTGGGAGACACATCCCCCTAAAGTCCCCAGGTTGTTGGCACAAAGGAAACTTCCAAAGACACTCATGTTGGTCTCCACTTGGTGGCTCCCGTTTGTGCTGTCTACTCCCAAGATCACTTGCTGAACACCTCGAATCCCAAAGGACCAGTGACATTTCCCTTGAACATCAACTGGGTCCCACTCAACCTCTGATGGTGGTTCTAGAAGTGACCCTCTTCAGATCTCTGCCCTTCCCTCCACATCATCAATAAATACACCTACAGCAAAAGAAGCATGTCCCCATGATGCCACATGGTTACAGCCGAGYGGCTGCCAGGCTGCTCCTGAGCCAGGCTGGATCCACCACCTACCCTCGGCTGGATGCTGAGAGTGGGGGCAGGGCTCTGGCTCTGTCTGGCTGATCTCTTCCACAGAAGGGAAAGAACTGGGCTGGGGTTGTGGCTCAGTGGTAGAGCGCTTGCCTAGCACACGTGAGGCATTGGGTTCCATCCCCAGCACCACATAAAAGTAAATAAAAGTATAAAAAATATTTTTTTAAAAGGAAGGGAAAGAATTACTGGTAGGAGAATTTTCTCTTAGGGACTGGGAAGCAAAGAAAAATGTTCTGTAGAAAAGAGAAAAATAAAGCAGGGAATATTAAAAGACAGCTGCTGTTCTCTCTCCAGGGCGGCTCCTGGGGCCCTGCGGCCTGGCTGGCCTTCTTTCGTGGATGTAAATGAAGTCTGATTTTGCTTTATCTCTTTCCAGGGGGGTCTTGTTACTTGCAAAAGAAACAAGCCCTGGTGACCGAGTGCAGCTGTCCCTCCCAGAGCTGGACGTGTCTGCCCGGGTTTTGCTCGTTAAGTCTCCGTCCATCCATCCGGGAGGCAGAGCTGAGCTTTGCACATGTTCCGTGACTCAAATGGCTTTCAAGGGCCGGAAGCCCCTAGAGCAGGCCGCAGACCCCTCCCCGCCGGACCGCCCTGCTTTCCACGTGCCCGCGCACCGCGTTGATCCCGGACAGCTGCTGGCCGGCCATGAGCACGAGGATGGTGATGAGCTGCCAGCGCAGGGCCCGGAAGGTGAACAGGTTGCGCACAGACAGGCGGCCCGCCGCGCGCTCCTCGCGCTCCTCCGCTCGCATGTCCTCCATCTCGGCCTCCACGTCGGCGGCGCGACCTCTCAGCCTCCCCAGAGCTGCGGAGCAGAGCGGCCCCACCACGTGCGCGGCGCGCCAGGCTTCAGGAGCGCGGGACGTCCCCACGCGGCCCACTCTGGGCTCGCCGCTTGGCAYCCAGTCAGGTCCCCAGCATGGTGGCCGCGCCCCAGTTGCCACCGGGCACGGGGCTCAAGCTTGGAACCTGTGACCCTGACTGTGACCCTGACGGTGTTCCCAGCCAGACGCCGAGCTGAGCGCTTTGAGCTGACGGGGAGGGCATTTTGGGGGGCGTGGGGCAGGAAGGGAAAGGGGCGCAGCCTCTGTACCTTGCCGCGCGGTCTCCTCGTCTCCTCTCTGAATCAGGGTGTAGCGGGGGCTCTCGGGGAAGAAGGGCAGGGAGAGGAGCTGGATCAGCGCGGGGACCCCGGTGAGAGCCAAGAGCACGGGCCAGCCTGCAAGGAAGTGACGCTGGACCGGCCACCCGGGGCCACAGAGCCTCCAGCAGCCCCAGCCGGCCTCAGGCCACGTCTGGACTCTGAGTGGCCTCTGCCCACTGAGAAGCAAGGACCGTGGGCAAGTCCTTGCTAAGAGGTGGCTGCCACGGGCCCACCCACAAAGGGGTTCCAAATTAAGAATGGAGAAAAGGATCGCAATTGGAAAACAAACAAACAAACAAACATGAGTTTTATTCATTCCAACCATCCTAGAAATCATCTTAGTTGTAGAATATGATCTGAAAATGTGAGCCCTAGAGAAAATGGATCTGCATCATTTCCCTAACTTTAGGCTGGAAGCCGCGTGATCTCTAGGTCCCTGGAGGCTGGGGCTGGGGAGTGGACAGACTCAGCGCTGTGCCTGCCCCTTGCCCAGGGTTTGGGTCCAGGCAGGGGTACTGAGATCTAAGATGTGGGTAGGGTCCCACATCTCAGTTTGGTTTTCTTAACAGTAAGATAAAGAGTGATAACACTACTGATAAAGTGAGGAGTGGTGAGAGGGGCGGAAGAGCACTCCAGGGCCAGGACAAGTAGCCAGCAAAGTGTCCATTTAAACCTGGGGATGAGGCTTAATTGATATTTTCCCCTGCAGTATTGGGGATTGAACCCAAGGGGCACTCCACCACTGGAGCTCTTTTTAACATAAAAAAAAAAAAAGTTGCTAAGTTGCCCAGGCTGCCTTGAACTTGTGATCTTCCTGCCTCAGCCTCCAGAGCTGCTGGGATTGCAGGCCTGCGCCACCACTCTAATTAATGTTTAATTTTCAGCTGTGGGGCGGTGGCTTGGGAATCACTGCTAATGATCCTGTATGGGTCCCCCCACTGACTTCTTAGTCGAATCCCTTCAAGATATCATGGAAAATACAAAGCATAGATTCAAGGACTGAGGGCGTAGCTCAGTGGTAGAGCACTTGCTTAGCATGTGTGAGGCCCTGAGTTCAATCCCCAGTACTGGGGAAAAAAAAAGAAAAAAGTGTGGCTCTTGTGTGATCTGGGTCCTTCAAAAGGCTTTTAAAGAGACTCCACTGTGTTCTGGGGGCTGCTGACACTGGCTTGCCAAGTCTCACACTTCTGGCCAAGTTTATTGGTCTGTTCTCGGGTCTACCCTCCCCATGACTGTTTCATACTTTTTTCCTTCTCTCGGACTTTAGCCATGTTCYCCCAGGTCACACTCAGGTAATGACCTTGTTGAGAAAATAGAAGCCACCAGAAGAAATTATCTACAGGTGCCACCTTCATGCATGTCACGGTAATGGGGGCTACACCCTGAGCACCCTGCACCCATGTCCCTCCCTGCTGCATTATTCCCATAACAGCCAAATATGCTGATATTTTTTTCCAGCTTGAAAACAAATCTCTTCTCTCCACCAAGCTTCCCCTCCCAGTTGCCTCTCAGGTTTTCTCCTTCCTTTAATAGCAAGACTCTGGCTGGTCTCTGCGTCTCTCCTCTCATTCCCAAGCACAGCCTGTCTCCATCGCCCACGCCCACTGCCCAGGTGGTCATCTGGGTCACCTCCCAGGCCTCCCCTGACTTGCTCCGTTAGTGGGGCTCCGCACGCTCCAGGCCCCGGCTCTGACTTTTGCTGCRAGTTACCTGTGGCGTTGCCCAGGAYGGCCTGCAGGCTGAAGATCTGCGCCAGTAAGACTCCGATGATGACGAACACCTCCGTCATCGTTCCCAGGGTGCCTCTCAGATTCTTGGGAGCCAGTTCTCCCAGGTACATGGGAAGAGCGCTGTAGGAGATGCCTGGTTCAGGCAAAGTGAAAATCAAGGCAGGCCAAGATCAGTGCCCACCCTCCAGAGACGCGGGAGCCCTGGACAGGGGGCAGCGCCTCTGTGACTGAGCTGGAAATAGGCCAGTTTTGGTGTTTCTCTCTCTCTCTCTCTCTCTCTCTCTCTCTCTCTCTCTCTCTCTCTCTCCTTTCTTATATATATATATATATATATATATCTCTCTCTCTCTCTCTCTCTCTCTCCTTTCTTCCCTCCCTCCCTCTCTTCTTTTCTCTTTAGCTGGGATTATAGGCACACACTACTGTGCCCAGCAAATAAGCCAACCTTGACTATTTGGTTTAGACTTATATCAAAATCCCCCCAGAATTCTTCACCCCCTCTGGGGACATTGCTAGGATATAGCGGTATAGCTGCCCACTGGRCCTCCTGTTAGAGGGGAGAAGTCTAGACCTCTGTGTGTTCCCAAGGCTAATAGGTAACTCTTACCTTTACCTAGGACTTATCTTCATGTGGGATTGAGATATAACTTTTGCTTTTATTTATTTTCTGATATTTCTAAAGCACAGATCACACATACACACACACACACACACACACACACACACGTAACAGAATTACTGTAGTTAAGAAACCTTGTCATCTGGTGACTGAGATTCCACATTTTGCATTTATTTTGCTTGAAATCCCTGTCCTTGGTTTAATCTGTACATCTTCCTTGGGAGATGCCTTATAAACCCTCATTTGTATTTCATAGTAAATTGTGTTTCTAACGATCCTCCTCTAGAGAAGATTTTGTTAAATAAACGAAAGGACCTAGAAAGCCTGACGTTTGCCCCAAAAGGGGAAAGAGGCAGATAGAGCCAGCGAGACCCAGACCCGCTGCACCCAGCCTTGGCCCATGGTGTTGTCTCAGAGCCCTTCCCCTGACAGGTGCACTGAACCCTGCTTGGGGCTGGGGCCACCATCCCAGGTACCTGCACAGACTCCCACCAGCACTCGAGAGAAGATGATCAGCTCAAAAGCCTGGGCCACTTTGCTGACTCCCATCAGGATGGCGGGGAGGATGGCGAAGATGTTGTTGATCAGCAGCGTTCCCTTTCTGCAAGACAGCAGTGCCCAGAGGGCAGGGACGGTCATGCCAGGAGCTCTGGACAGCAGCTTCTGCATTCCGGGCCATSACTTCAGAGGCAGGGAAGGCACCTGAGAACAGGCTGATGGGTGGGCCAGGGGCCTCAAGGGTCCTCCAAATTCATGTTGCAGCCTTTCACTCTCAAAGTGGGGGTGATTAAGTCAGGGGAGCTCTGGCAATGGGATTAGTGCCATCAGGGCTGGGAGAGCGTAGCTCAGGGGCTTGCCTAGTGTATCTGGGGTCTGGGGGCCTGGGTTCCATCTGTGGGGGTGGGGGACAGGGCAAGAGTCAGCGCTCATTCCCTTTCTCTCCCCCCCCCCCCACCCTACTGTGAGGACACAGAAGGAAGGCAGACTTGTAACAGCCAGGAAGCAGGTTCTCGGCTGGCACCTTGAGCTTGGACTTCCAGCCTTTAGACCTTGGGAAATCGATGTCTGTTGTTTCAGTTTCCCTGTGTAATTTGTCACAACCGCTTGTACTAAGTCAGAGGGGAAGGAAGGTGAGGCAAGGACACCTGGGCCAAAGCCCCAGGAAAGAAGACGTGGGGTCAGTGGGGGTGGGGCGCGCTCTGACCGTCATAGCTCCTGGGAAGGAATAAGCTGCCTGAGGAGAGGGGAGCTTCCTGTCTCTGGTGGAATTCAAGTTGTTGCTGGTGGTTCCTAGACCAGAAGGGATGATTGACAGGARTGTTGGATGGGAGATTCCCCCAGCAGGTGGGGTGCAGAGTAGGACTGGATGATCTCTAAAGCCCTTCTAAGGCTGAAAGCCACCAGCCTGTGACATGGAGGGAGACAGCCTCTGAAAATGAGTGCTCAGCGGGATGTACCCTGCAGGCCCCTGCCACCATCCCATCTTCTTGACTCTGCTCCATGTCTCAGACAGATTTGCACCAAGGGCCCGGGTCCTCTGCCTCTTGCCTGGGGTTCGGGTTTTGCCAGTGCAGRGCAGTGACCAGAGGGAAGGACGCGCGCTCCCTGGCTGGGTGCTGGCCGGCTGGCCTGGCGCTGGGGGCTATCTTCCGTTTCCTTCTCTGTCTGCCTCCAGAGGTGTTAGCAACTCCCTCCCTTCTCTCCCCTTTAGGGCTGGAGGGACTCTGYCTGGCCTTTGTCATTTCCCACACTCTGCTGCTGCCTTTCAGGGCCCTGATCCATACAGGCCCCTGAGTGAAGCAGCCAAAGGGGAGTGGCTCTGCCCTGGGAGCAGGGCTGATGAGGTCCCTGCGACAGTCAACGCTGAGGACTCTTGGGGATCCGCAGTGTGCAGGCTGAATTCTTTAGCCACTCTTCACTCCCTGGGACTGTCCCAGCACCAAGAGAGCACCCCCTAGAGCTCCCAGAGGCTCAAGGAGAACAAATAGTCTACCCTGGCCCCACCTTCCTTCTACTCCCTCCCTTCCTGGCCACCAGGAGCCTGCTGGCCTCTGGGGACTCTGGGGGTCAGGACCCCATTCACAAGGCCAGCTCCACCCCACCTCCAGGCTCCGGCTCCTCATCTGCAAAATCTCCTCTGCAGAGGTGAGCTCCTCTCCAAGTCTCCTCCACCGCCCAGGTGCCCTGGCTTGGGGGTCCAG